GAAGGAGGGGGCAAGCCACCGCGCCTTGTTAGGGACGGCGCTGGGCCTGATTTGGGGAATGGGAAGGGGGGGGAGACTCCTATTATTAAGGGAACCGAGCCCCAGCGGCGCTTTTTCTGGCTGAGGAGGGGAGGAAAGGGGGAGAAGGAAGGAAGGGAGGAAGGAAGGAGGGAGCCAGCGGGGAGGAAGCGGCGAGGAAGGCGGCGAGAGACCGGGGAGACCTTTGGACATGCCTCTGCGGCTCAGTCGGGAGTGGAATCCAAATCTCCCCCGTCTAAACCGGGTTTTAGAACCGAGGAGAAGCGAGTAGCTCTCCTTTTCTCCCTCTTTGTGTTTCACATGAAGGGAAATCCAGTCCTCTTGTCCTCTTTTCCTTCTCCTGTCATCCAGACTTTCCTTTCTTTGGGTCCCCCCATCCCTCTTTCCTTCTTTTATCTTTCCCCCTCAGTCTTTTTCTTTATCTCTCTTTCTCTTCCTATCACCCTTCCTTCCTCCCTCTTTCTCTTCCCCTTCGCTTTCTTTCTTTCGCTCTCTTTCCGTCAGCCTTCCCCCTATCTCTCTGTATCTCTTCAACTTTCCTTCTTTCTCTCCCTTCCTCTTTGGTCTTTCTCTTCCCCTCAGCCTTCCTTCCTTCCTTCCTTCTCTCTCTCTCTCTCTTCCCCTCAGCTTTCCTTACTTTCCTTCCTTCCTTCTCTCTCTCTCTTCCCCTCAGCCTTCTTTCTCTCCCGCCCCCTCAGCTTTCTTTCGTTTCTTCTTTCTCTCCCCCTCTCTTCCCCTCAGCTTTCCTTCCTTCCTCCTCTCTCTTTCTTCCCCTCAGCTTTCCCCCCTCTCTCTATTCCCCTCATCTTTCTTTCCTTCCTTCTCTCTTCCTCTCAGCCTTCCTTCTCTCTTTCTCTCTCTTCCCCTCAGCTTTCCTCCCTTCGTTCCTTCCTTCTCTCTCTCTCTTCCCCTCAGCCTTCCTTCTCTCTCTCTCTCTCTTTCCCTCAGCTTTCTTCTCTCTTCCCCTCAGCCTTCCTACTCTCTTTCTCTCTCTTCCCCTCAGCTTTCCTTCCTTCGTTCCTTCCTTCTCTTCCTCTCTTCCCCTCAGCTTTCCTTCCTTCTCTCTCTCTCTCTCTCAGGCTACCTTCTTTCTCTCTTTCTCTTTCCCCCAGCTTTCCTTCTGTTCCTTCATTCTCTCTCTCTTCCCCTCAGCCTTCCTTCCTTCCTTCCCCTTCCCCTTTCTCTTTCTCTCGCTTCCCCTCTGCTTTCCTTCCTTCGTTCCTTCCTTCTCTCACACACAATCCTTTCCCCTCAGTCTTTCTTCTCTCTCTTTCTCTCTCTCTTCCCCTCAGCCTTCTTTCCTTCTCTCTCTCTGTCCCCTCTCTTTTCCCCCTTCGCTTCAGTCTTCCTTTTTAGTCTCCCTTTCGCTCCCTTTCAGCCTTCTTTCTTTTCCTTCCTCTCGGCCTTCCTGCGCTCTCTCTCTCTCTTTATCTCTCTCCCGCAACCTCAGCTTTCCTTCCTTCTTTCTCTCTCCCTTCTTTTCTTTTCTCTCTCTCTCTCTCCACCGGCGCCCCACCCCGCCAGCCCACCGCGCTTTGAAGCCTCGGAAGGAATGATTTAGTTTGTTTATCCTGCTATAAAAATCAAGAGCAATAGAAAAGTCATAAAAGGGAGCACGCCATCCATCACGCCGCCGTCGCCGCCGCTGCTTCTGCTGCCGCTGCCTCAGGCGAGATGGATCAGCCCCAGGAAAGGCGGATTGGGGGGGGGAGCCCCGATATTTGGCCTCGGAGCTTGGAAAAGAGGCATTGGATGCTCCAGGTGTTTTGGACTTCAACTCCCACCATTCCTAACAGCCTCAGGCCCCTTCCTTTTCCTCCTCAGCCAGCCTTGATATGTTAGGAATGGTGGGAGTTGAAGTCCAAAACACTTGGAAGGCCCAAGTTGGCCCAGATCTGCCCTAGAGGATGGATGCAATCTGATACTACTTCCACTGCTTTGGTTCAATGCTATAGAATCGCAGGAGTTATGGTTTGAGGAGGGCCGAAGTTGGCCCAGGCCTTCCTTATGGGGCCTTCCTTATAGAGCCTGGACCCATTTTGGCCCTTGTTCTTGGCCCCAGAGCCGCCCCTTGGAGGCCCCTTCCTCTTCCTCCCGCTTCCCAGAGAGCCCGCGCCTGTAGGCTTCATTTCCACCGAATGAATAATCTTAATTGCATCACTTTCCGAATTAAAAATCAATGTTAATCAAGCCGGAAGGAGGAAATATCAGTTTTCATTGTGCCTGGCCGAGATGGCCATGCCTCTCTCTCTCTCTTTTCTCCTTCTGTGAGGGGAGGGATCATTCTCTCTGTGTGTGTGTATGAGAGAGAGAGAGAATCAAATAACTTCTCCAAAAGGCCATTCTGTTCTGCTACAAACACAATTGAAACGGATTGTTTAGGAACGGATCAGAAACGGTACAGAATTTTGCACTTAATTTCCCCCGTTATCATTTACAATCAGAACCCTCTTGCCTTGACAGCCAACTCTAAACAGTAGTAAATTAGTACAAATTTATACTGATTTTACTCTAATAATCGTAATAAAAGCTTATAGATTTGGCACTAATTACATAAATGCCTAATGATCTTGAAAATTACTCTGGTTAGAAATATATTACTAATCTAAACTTTGTTGTTGGCTGGCTTTGAAAAATCAGAACATTAGAAATGGTTCGCTTCCTTTTTTTTCCTCTCTCCCCCTCTTGTGCAAAAGCACTTGGAAATTGTTGGGAGAGTTTTCAACACATTCCAAAGGAAAATAACGTTTTGTTATTTTATAAACAAGCATTTGACTTTATTGACGGCCTTAAAATGAGTTTGGAGGGAAGGTGAAGTTAGAAAAGAGAGGTGAGTGAGAGAGAGAGAGGGAGAGAGAGGTGCTTGGAGGCCTGCCTGCCTTGCCCTCGTCGCCTTTAAAGCCAAGCCAACAGATGGCATTATTTCTGCTTGATGCCAATGTTGTGTTCGGCGGGAGTCGAGATCCTCGGGGGCACAAGCACTGCGAAGAGAAACCCAAATAAATGTCATTATGTACTGCAGAAAAAGAAGCCTGGGTTGCTGTGAGTTTTCCGGGCTGCATGGTCATGTTCCAGAAGCATTCTCTCCTGACGTTTCGCCCACATCTATGGCAGGCACCCTCAGAGGTTTTGAGGTCTGTTGGAAACTAGGCAAGGGAGGTTTATATATCTGTGGAATGTCCAGGGTGGAAGAAAGAACTCTTGTCTGCTTAAGGCAGGTGTGAATGTTGCAATTGGCCCCCTTGACTAGCATTCTTACTGCCTGGGGGAATCCTTTGTTGGGAGGGGTTAGCTGGCACTGATTGATTCATGTCTAGAATTCTTCTGTTTTCTGAGTTTTGTTCTTTATTTACAATGGCCTTGCAGCTTCAAGATCTGGCTGCTTCCTGTTTGGGAGAATCCTTTGTTGGGAGGTGATTAGCTGGTCCTGACTGATTCATGTCTGGAATTCCTCTGTTTTCTGAGTATTGTTCTTACTGATATTAGAGTTTTTTAAATACTGGTAGCCAGATTGGTAACAGCGCTCCACGCAGTCATGCCGGCCACATGCCCTTGGAGGTGTCTACGGACAAAGCCGGCTCTTCATCTTAGAAATGGAGATGAGCCCCAACCCCCAGAGTCGGACACAATGCTTTAAGGCAGTGGTTCTCAACCTGGGGTCCCCAGATGTTTTTGGCCTTCAAATCCCAGAAATCCTAACAGCTGGTAAACTGGCTGGGATTTCTGGGAGTTGTAGGCCAAAAACATTTGGGGACCCCAGGTTGAGAACGACTGCCTTAATGTCAGAGGACAACCCTTTACCTTTACTAGCCAGATTGTGTTAATTTTCATGGTTTCTTCCTTTCTGTTGAAATAGTCCACATGCTTATGGATTTCAATGGCTTCTCTGTGTAGTCTGACATGGTGGTTGTCAGAGCGGTCCAGCATTTCTGTGTTCTCCTTTGCCACCTCTCCAACCCCCTTTGCTTGGTTGGTTTGTTTGGTTGAATGCTGCAAGTCTCTTCTGGTGTGAGAGAATCAACCGTCTACAAAGACGTTGCCCACAGGACTCCTGGGAAGTGTGGAGAAGAGCAAACCACAGACTACCTATCACAGTGCAGCCTGAGCCCCGCCACATGCACAATGGAGGACCTTCTTATAGCAACACCAGAGGCACTCCAAGTGGCCAGCTACTGGTCAAAAGATAAAATATAATGCCAAGTAAATATAATGCCGAATATAATACCAAGTTTTTAAACTTTGTGTTTTTTGTAAATACATTACAACTGTACTTTTGGTTCGCTCCTGATACGATAGATAAATATCAATATCCAACCCCCCATCCCCCACCCCCACCCCGCCGCCTCAATCAGCGCGGATACCCAGGATTGGAGACCTTTCAAGGAAGCCATCCCAACAGCACCGCCTTCGGAAAGCCCTAGTTTCCATAGGAGGAACGGGAGAAGGGGATAGGACCCCTTCCTCTTTTCCTCCTCTCCAGAAAGAGTGGGCTTTAGGGGTTTTTTGGGGAAAGTGTGTGGGACCCCCTTGAGCAGGACACCCAGCCACTCACGCATGGTCAGCCGAAATAATCCCTCCCTTTTGCTTGAGTTGGCATTGCCAGGAGGTCACTTTTTGTTTCAGGAAGGCTGGAGCGAGGGCGGAGTTTGGGTGGGTTGGAGCGGGGCGGGGCGGCCTTTAGGGCGATCCCTATGGGGTGGGGGGTGGGGGTGGGGGCTTGGGTGCCCCCGATTTGGGGACGGGGGCTCGGGAGGCCCATCATCCCCGGCGGCGCCCGTCGTCGGGCGGGCGGAGCGGGGCTTCTCGGGGTGCTGACATTTCCAGGCTGCCCTCCTGATTGGTCCCTTCGCCGAGCTGCTCACGGGTTCACTGAAGTGTTAAGCACCTCCCCGTCTCTCTAAAGGACATTATAATGCAAGAGACCCCCTTTTTAACCACACACCGAATTTTCTTTCATTTAGGCGATCTATATATAAATATATATATATAAATATATCTAATCTAAGCTTTGGAGAGCTTCGGCAAGTGTGTAACTTTTTTTTTCTTCTCAAAAAAAGAGACCCCGCCAACCGCTAAAATTTGGGGGGGAACGGCTTTCGCCCTGGAGCGGTGCGCGATGCTCTCTCACGCCGACCTCCTGGACGCCCGGCTCGGTGAGTTTGGCCCCCGGGCGCCTCTCTGGCCCCCCTCTCCCTTCCCTGGTCCTTCTTCCTCTCTCTCTTTCTTTCCTTCTTTCCCTCCCCCTTCCCTTCCCTTCCTCCCCTCTTTCGCGCCCCCGGCCGCATCTGCCGCCCAGGAAGAAGCCAAGGGCAGGAAATTGACAATTTGTGCCTGATTTCGCCTAATGCGCTCTAAATGGGCTAATTTCTTTAAAAGTAATTGTACTGTATTAAAGTTTAATTTGATTTAACATCGTCGCCTCTAACAAAAAAAAAAAAAAGATTCTATGGAATATGTAGATCCCAAAGCAGACTTTAATGGGAGCCATTCTGGTGTGTTGTTTTTTTCCTTTCTTTCCTCTGTCCTTTTGGCTTCCTCCGGATTTTCTTTGTCTTTGTTTTGATTTGATTTTCGCCTGCTTTGCCTTTTTTCTCAACTATCCATTCTGAGAGACCCGTATCCCTAGCTAGCTCTGTGTCATCCCGAGATGGATCTGTACCTCCATCCGTATTTATTTATTGCTATTCTTTTATATTTTATTTCATTATTTATTTTATTCTTATTATTTTATTTTATTGTTTTTTTGTGTGTGTGTCAGGAGCGACTTGAGGAATTGCAAGTCGCTTCTGGTGTGAGAGAATTGGCCGTCTGCAAGGACGTTGCCCAGGGGACTCCGGGATGTGAAGGGCTCCTCTTTATGGCTCTATCTGGGTGAGAAAAAATGCGGATTTGCTCGGGGTCGGGCTGAGCCGCCTTGGGCTTGCTTTGCCCCGCAGGAATGAAGGACGCCGCCGAGCTGCTGGGCCACCGGGAGGCGGTCAAGTGCCGCCTGGGCGTCGGGGGCGCCGAGCCCGGAGGAGGCCACCCGGGAGACCTTTCCTCCAACGCCGACGCCGTGGAAGGGGCCACCATGCTGCCCGGGGAGGACCTCGCCGCCGTGGGAGCCACGCCCGGAGCCCTGGTCGTCGCTGCCGCCAAGGACCCGGATAAGCAGCCGCCCGGAGGGCCCAACCCGGGGCAAGGCGGCGGCGGGGGAGGAGGAGGCGGAGGAGGAGGCCCGCAGCAGCAGCAGCAGGGGCCACAGCAGGGCCAGCAGCAGCAGAGCCAGCAGAAGCAGAAGCGGCACCGGACGCGCTTCACGCCGGCCCAGCTCAACGAGCTCGAGCGCAGCTTCGCCAAGACCCACTACCCGGACATCTTCATGCGAGAGGAGCTGGCCCTCCGCATCGGCCTCACCGAGTCCCGCGTCCAGGTACCACCAGCTTCTCCCTTCCTCCCTCCCTCCCTCCCACGCGCGCCCCTTCGCCCCACGCCTCTCATCCTCCCACCGCCCACACCCCCCACGCAAGCAGCTCTCATGCCAGGAGCAACTCACGCCTTGTCCCATTCCTTTGTATTCCCCCGCCTTCCTTTCATTTATCCTCCTCCTCTTCTTCCCTCGTTTTTCCTTTCGCTTCTTTTGCCTCCCTTCCTCCTTCTCATCCCTCTTTCCTTTAGAGCAAAATACAGATTTTCTCTCCTCTTCCCTTTCCCTCCTCTTCCCTCTTTTTCCTTCCTTCCTCCTTCCTGCCTTCCTTCATAGCCCTCCCTTCTTCCTCCTTTTCCTCCTCTTCCTCCTTTTCCTTTTTTCCCTTCCTTCCTTCTTTCCTTCCTCCCTTCCTGCAATTTCCCTTCCTTTCCTCCATCCTTTTTCCTCTCTCTTCCCTCCTTCCCCTTATTTTCCTTTCCCCTTCATTCCCTCTTCTTCTTTCCTTCCTCCTTCCTGCCTTCCTTCAGAGCAATTTCCCTTCCCTTCTTCCCTCCTTTTTCCTCTCTCTTCCCCTCTTCCTCTTCTTTTCCTTTCCCCTTCCTTCCCTCTTCTTCCTTCCTTCCTTCCTCTTTCCTGCCTTCCTTCAGAACAATTTCCCTTCCTTTCTTCCATCCTTTTTCCTCTCTCTTCCCCTCTTCCTCATCTTTTCCTTTCCCCTTCCTTCCCTCTTCTTCCTTCCTTCCTGCCCTCCTTCAGAGCAATTTCCCTTCCCTCCTTTTTCCTCTCCCTTCCATATATTCGGAGACTGGGTCAACCACTAGGATGTTGTCAGTAAGAGGGAGAATGATTCAGTCCTGGTTTCATCACAACACATGGAAACTGCACGTTTGTGGGCTCTAGGGCAGCTCCAATACAAAGTCACAGGAGACAGAAGGAGGCACAATAAAATATCAGAGAAAGGGCAAGACAAGAGTAGCAAGATGGCAGGGCTCAAATGACAAGAGCTGCTATTCCAGGAAGGAACTAGCCCTGAACATCTAGCTCTCCAACCTTTTGCTGGAGAATTTAGAAACAGTGATTCAGACATTAGACTGCAACTTGGGCGAGTCAGTTTCACCTGCTCACTGAGTCATTAAATGAGCTTATAGTTCTTCATCAACTTTACCTATGTTATAGAGCTATAACTATGACGCTAAAACAGGAAACACCATCATGTGTGGAAAAATTGTGGGATATGAAAGTAATGTTAAAAATATTAATAGAATCATAAAGTTGGACGACACCCCAAGCACCCCCCTTTCCTCCACCATCTCTTTTCTTTCCCTTCTCTCTTCCCCGCCTTTCATTTCCCCTCCTCTTCTCTTTCCCTCCATTCCCTTCCCTCTTCTTCCTTCCTTTCCTTTCCCTTCTTCCCTCCTTTTCCCTCTCTCTTCCCTTCTTCCCCTTCTTTTCCTTTACCCTTACTTCCTTCTTAGTTCTTCCTGCCGTCCTTCGGAGCAATTTCCCTTCCCATCTTCCCTTCCTTTCCTCGTCATCCTTCCACCTTCCTGCATTCTTTCGGAGCAATTTTCCTTCCCTTCTTTCCTCCTTTTTCTTCTCTCTTCCCTCCTTCCCTTCTTTTCCTTTTCTTCCCTCTTCCTTCTCTTCCCTCTTTCTGTCTTCCCTTCCCTTCTTTAGGGCTATTTCCCTGTCTCCCCCGCTCTCACCCATCAAACCCCGACCAGGCCAACTTCTTCACTCCCCCCCCCCCCCCCCCCCCCCCCCCCGCTCGCCTCCCACCCGGGAGTAATTGAACAGCCGCGTGACCTAAAATGACTTCCAAAGTAATAACAATAACTGATTAATCAGGGTCATTAAGCTACCCAGGCTAAGGGACCACAAGGGAGGGAAGAAAGTTAGCAAAATTAAGTTGTACTCAAAGGAAAGTTTTGCTATCCAAGCAGATTCATTGCACAGAGGAAAGAAACTTCTATTGTTATTAGTTGTTGTCGCGCAGCCCTGTTTTCGTTTTGTGTAAAAAACAAACCCAACAACAACCAGGCTTTTATAACTGGAGAGGTGAGTGACTGCAGGTAATATGGAAGAAAAAGGAACCATGGGAAAGAAAAGCGTTCAGCGCCATAGTGGTGAAACCATATTCTACTTAAAAATTAAGAGAAAGATTTAAAAGATAATTTTAAATCTGCTCCTTCTTCGGCCCATTTCAGCACTTTCTTTCTTTCCAAAACTTGGTTTACTCCTAGCATCTTGGGGATTTCGGCATTGTGAGTTCAATAAACATGGCCAGGCGGAGGATAGATTTCTAATGCCACGGACTGACAGGCTGGTCCGCACCTCCTTTGATTCCACTCGCATTGATTTCGGGGGGAATCTGTCTTCCAAGAAAGAAAGAAAGGCCTGTGGGAAACGAGCGGGAGGGTTATTTGAAAAGATAATTGAAATCCCGAGCTAGAACAAAACGTTTAATTTTATTATCTTTTAAGGTTTAGGACTGTCGGGTAGCAGCAGCGCTTCCCGTTCGCCAAGGGATATGTTTAATGCATTTCAGAAAAGGCGGAAATCACACCTCTTATAAGATGGGGTGGGCAATCACTTCTGTACACATTAATCATAAAGGAAATAAAACCGTGCTTTTTTCCCTCTGCTTTCATGCCAGTGGGCTCCCAATTGGTTTCAATGGCGGTTTAAAGCGCCTAGGCGCTGTCCCTGGTGCTGAAGTAACGCCCACCCTTTCTGGCGCTGTCCTTGGTCCTGAAGTCAGCCCTGCTTGCGCTATGCTCTGTCCTTGATCCTGAAGCCTCCCTTTCTGACGCCTTTTGAACTGTCCTTGGTCCTGAAAGTCTCCCTTTCTGGCGCTTTGCTCTGTCCTTGGTCCTGAAGCCTCCCTTTCCGGCGCCTTTTGAGCTGTCCTTCATCCTGAAGTCTTCCTTTCTGGCGCTTTAAATAAAAAAACCTTATTGATACCCCTCTCATCTGAAGAGAAAGGATTTCGGTGATTCTAAAAATATAAACTGGAACGATATTTCCAGGACTGTTAAATATGATTCTATCAAATAGCAATTGCTTTAATCTAATATTGTAAACAGGTTGAGGAAGAACATACCTACTTATATGGAAATCTATGCAATTTACTCCTAAGTAAATTGATAGCGGGTCGGTTTATTGTATGACTTCATAAATAGATTCCAATCTAATTAATTTGGACAATAATTGAAGATAAATCCAAGGAATAATACTAAATAATAATAAAACTTTATTTATAACCTGCCTTCTCTCCCCAAAGGGACTCAGGAAACTATGGAAACAGAATTTTCAGTTTTTATCATTTTTGTGGGGATCTGCATTGGATTCGCTGCCATTATATGCCTCCTCCAAAATACTGTTTAAATTATCAATCGGATCTGTGTAGGCTTTCATGGAGTCCGTCCAAAATTGGGTTAAACTGTCCAAACCTACTGGGGTAATTTAATAAAGCAAAATTAAATTTAAACTGGGAAGCCACAATTCGATAAACAAACAACAATTATTTCAATAATAAACAACATAAAATTATTTCGACACAATTATTATGTATTTTACACAGATCTCTGTGCACCTCGTATACAATAAGACAGCTTTAAAATTAGTAGAACAATTAATTTTTAAAATGGAATATTACTGGACAAGGCAGTGGAAACGGAAGAGTCTATCCAACTCTACTGATTTTTTTCTCTCCAAAGGCTAATGATAGCAATTTCATTATCAGAAATGTGATCAACGAAGCAAAATGTATAAAATGAAATGGAAATGGTGATTCCTCACCCGTTCTCTTCCCCACACTGGGGACGGCCGACATTGACTGGAATCAAATATTAACCAAATCACATATTAATCATGGATAATAAAGGAAATAAAACTGAACGTGGAAAGGTTAAAATTATTTTATTTTTGATTTCATTAATACAGACAATTCCCATTTCCAAAATTTTGTTCAATAGCAAAGCAAAACTAAAATCCCGACATCCCCATAAATAATAATAATAACAACAATTACACTATAATAATAATTCAATAATAATAATAATAATAATAATAATAATAATAATAATAATACATCTTTAATAGTTTCTCCGGATCCTTAGTCCGGGGTGAAAAGGTCATAAGTCGCCTTGATTATGATCCTTTCCTTCCAGGTAAGCACGCGCTGGATCCTTCTGCAGGACCCTTATAACCATATTATTTACCCTTCTTCGGATTCCCAGCTTGACTTGTAAGTAAGTCCCATTCATACAAATAGGACTTACCTCCAAGGTTGGATCTGCACTGCTTTATGGACAGTGTAGACCCTTGTAGAGCCGTTTAATTGCACGGAACTGCAATATATGGGTCTTCACCGGCCCTCCAGATGTTTTGGACTCCAACTCCCACCATTCCTAACAGCCTCAGCCACTTAAGCGGCTGAGGGGGAAAAGGAAGGGGCCTGAGGCTATTAGGAGTAGTGGGAGTTGGAGTCCAAAACACCTGGAGGGCCCAAGTTTGCCCAGACCTGTAGTAGATCCTTACATCTGGTGGTGCCTTTTAACTCTGCTATATGTTAGTGCACCTTCAACCCGCCTTTTATGGCAGTGTAGACCCAGTCAAGTTAAACGTGATCTGAAGAAAGGCTCTCTTAATGACCTTCGCATAATCCGACCCCCCTGGTAATGGATTCAGGCGGGCTTGAATAGAACAGTTTAATCGAGTGGCAATTTACAATATTCCTTACAATAATGTTCCTGCAGTTTAAAAAGTAATCAAATCAACATAAACCTTCTTAATGAACACTTCAGAATGATTAACATGATGTTAAGCTCGCGCGCGCGCCCGCACAAAAAAAAATTATGGGAAATATATTATTTACTTCCCAGTTCATTGTATCCTTGCTACTTGACCGAATGAATGGCAACAGAAGAGTAATGGGTGGGTTTATGATGGTCTCGTTGACACAAGGTTTTAGGCGCGAAGGAGGTTCCAGGCTGATCCGG